TTTCTCGCAGAAAACCGCCGGAGAGCACCGAGGACCACCCAAGCCCGCGGAACGCCGCCAAAGACCGCTGACGACCGCCGAAGGATGGGTAACCAGGGCTCCGTGGTCGTTCCCCTCCTCTCCTCTCCTCTCCTTCCTCCTTTCAGTTCGGTCCCGTAACCTCTCGCCATTGGCCTCGCTGGGGGGTTCAAGATGCGCCTCGTCCGCGCGCGCACGGACCTCACTGCCCGTTCCTTTGACTGTGAGCTGTCCTGCGAGCCCTGGTGCAAGAGACCCAGCCTGTTACTGACGGGCACCCCTGATGGGGCCACGTTGTTCTGCTGTATGGCGCGTGGCTGTCAGTGACGGGGCGAGGCTAGGAAGCCCCGCCCGTGGTTGCACTGGCGGGTCAACGTCTGTCCACCGCAAGATCAGTCTAAGCCGCATCCGTCGCGGGATCCATCGTAACCACCTGCGTAGGGATATCGGGAGGGAAAAAACATACAGACACACTTAATCGGCGATCCCGAGGGAAATATGGCAAACTATGGGAAGTGTGGGGAGTGGGGACGAAGGCCCAGAACATGTGTGAAAATATGGCGAAGCCTGGGATGTGTATGTGCTTGCTTGTGTGCCCCTGGGCCCCTGCAGGAGATCCCTCTCTCGACGAGCTGGTGCCGCCTGCAGAGTTCGCTGGGGCGCCCTGGGCGCACTGCGCCTCGCAGGCCTCGGCGACGGGGCGCGGGGGCCGAGCCGCCGGGCCTCGGGCTTCCCGCGGCGCGGGGCCCGTCTGCCCCAGTGGGTTTCTCTCTCCTTGTTCTCGTCCTAGCCCTCTGCGCTGAAAGGTGTCGAATGTACACATGGCTCATTTCGAATTCTTCGAAAGTTCTTTGTTTCTCTGGGGGGCCAAGATCCTTTCATTTCTAAGTGTCCCATCCAGGGCCTCGTGCTCCCGCGGCGCGGGGCCCGTCTGCCCCAGTGGGTTTCTCTCTCCTCGTTCCCGTCCTGGCCCTCTGCGCTGCCCAGGCTTGCCTCCTCCCTGGAGGGCGCGCTAGACCGCCCCTGTATGAGGAACGCCCGAAAAAACCTTCGGGGAAAGCCAACTCAACCCCGACGGGGGTCCACAACACCACGGGCAGGCCCCGTGAACCCCCAGGCACGAACAGCCCAGGGAGAGGTGTCGAATGTACACATGGTTCAGTTCGAGTTCTTCGAAAGTTCTTTGCTCTTCTGGGGGGCCAGGATCCTTTCACTTCTAAGCGTCCCATCCAGGGCCCTCCCTCCCGGCCTCGAGGGGGCCAGGAACAATCAGAAACGAGCACGATCAGAAACGAGCACGATCAGACATGAGCGACGTCTAGTGCCCCTCCCTCCCCCTGGCTCTCGTTTGCCCCTTTTGCCCTCCCCTCTGGACGCCCGAAATGAGTACAGAAAGAATGGGTACAATGCCCAACAGCAGTTCCTGTTCATATTGAACAGGATTCGCTGTCCACGCCGCCGAGGCCTGTGTCCATTCAAGACAGGAGGCCGCCTGCCCAACAGCGGCCGCTGTTGGTTTGGGACACCATTTGTTGTTGGGCATTGTACCCACTCTTTCCGTACCCATTTCGGGCGTCCAAATCCCTCCCTGGGGCCTCTGTCGCGGCGCGTCTCCCGGCAAGAAGAGGGGGAGGGGGCGCGCTGGCCGCGCTGCGCCCGCCATATGGTGCGCCGCGGGCCCGCGGGCCGCGGGCCGGCGGGCCGCACGAGCTCCCCCCCCCGAAGGCCAGAGCTTTCAGGAGGGGAAAAATACACAGACACAGTGAATCGTCGATTTCCCAGAACATGTGGGAAACTAGGGGAAGTGGGGGGGAGACAAAAGCCCAGAAAAAATATGGGAACATATGGGGAATCTTGTTAGTTGTGTGTGTGTGTGTGTATTTCTTTGTGTGTCCCAAGGCCCCTTCAAGCTTGAAGGGCTGGGAGTTTTTGGGAAAAGGGCGGCGGCCGAGACCCCCACCACTTGTTCCGCCGCCACGAGGGAGGAGAGCAGAGCCTACGCTACAACATGGCCTTAACGATTTGCGCTCAGAGCGGTGCCAAGGCCACGGCGATCGTTGTTGCTGCTTGCACGGGTGGCGCGGTCGACGCTGGAGGCAGCCCTTTAGACGCAGACTCACCAACTTCTCCGTGTAATGGGCACGACGGAACCCGCGGAGGCCGAAGAGGGAGGATGTGTGGAGGGTGCTCGAGGTTTGCCCGTTGCTGCGGGATGCTTTCCGTCAGCGTTTTTGGGCATCTTGGGTGAGGCGGCTTCTGGGCCTACCGAGGCCGTCCTGGGGGATCGACCTGGGGTTGTCCAGGGGCCTCGGGCGCCCACTTGGGGACCCTTTTGTTGGGCCGGCGTGGGACTTCTTGGGGTCGCGGGACCCTATCGGAACAATGTTGGGCCGAAAACTCGAGAGTATTCAACCATGCGTCAGAAGAACTATGTGTGTCTGGACTGTGTTGGGCCGTCGTCAGAGGCTCCGTTTCTTGTGAGTTTTAGGGCCCCCCTTGGGATGCGCGCCTCGGTGTATACGGTTGATGTGTAGGTGTTGGGTTCGTGTGGAGCCTCTTGCCCAATGTCAAGTGCCTCTTGGGCTCTGATCTGGCTACACCCACGGGCCTCTCGTAGGCATCTTCGAGCTCAAAAGGACAAAAGGACGGTTACAAAAGGTAGATCTATCTTACAGTGCGCCGTCTTGGTGCGCCCTCGGGGCGCATCGGGCCATCTTGGCCATCTGGAAAACCATATCGGGGCTACTTGGAGGGCAACGGATGACCCAGGCACAGCGGGGGAGGCGGGGGCGACAGCGGGCGCAGGGCCTGGGGGCGCAGAGAGTCCACTTCAATGTCACGGTGCAGAATCTGGCAATCTCGGCATGGACATGTCAGGAGGTTTCGGGACGCTTGAGGAGGTTCAGGGAAGGCTTCTGCTGAAGGCCTTCAGTGGAGCGGGGCCCTCGGAGGCGTTATGGGGCGGTGGACGGTCTTGAGAAGCTATCGAGGAGGTGAGAGGCTTCTGGGAGGCCTTCAGAGGCTTCTGGACCTCGCAGGGTGGGCGGCCCCAGGGATGCTGCAGAGGTCCCTGGGAAAAAGAGGTATGTGTTTGGACGCATTGCGTGGTAGCGGGTGGTGCCTTGGATGTCGTCGTGGGGCTATTCGGGACCCGTGGATTTTTATAATATTGCACAATTGTGTTCTAGAACTCGGACCTCTTTATTTTCGTGATTCGTCGTCTTCCCCCTGGCTCTGGCTTCCCATCCTCGTCGTCGTCTCCCTGCCCCCCATTCCTTGGCCTCCGCGCCCCAACCCAGACCTCTGGCTCCTGGTCCGAGTCCCAGTCCTGCCCTGGCCCTGAAAGAAGCCTCCCTCCTTGGCTCTGGCGTCCCCTGGCCCTGGCCCCAGCCCCCTTCGCCCCGGCCTTTTTATTTTCGTGCTTAGTCGTCGTCCCCCTGGCTCTGGCCTGCTTCCCCTGGCCCCCTCGCCCCCGTCCTCCTGCCCTGGCCCTGAACCCAGCCTCCCTCCTTGGCTCTGGCGCCCCCCCCCTCGCCCCAGACACTTTATTTTCGTGGTTCGTATTCGGTCCCCTGGCTGTGGCCTGCTTCCCCTGGCCCCCTCGCCCCCGTCCTCCTGCCCTGGCCCTGAACCCAGCCTCCCTCCTTGGCTCTGGCGTCCCCTGGCCCTGGCCCCAGCCCCCTTCACCCCGGCCGTTTTATTTTCATGCATCGTCGTCGTCCCCCTGGCTGTGGCCTGCTTCCCCTGGCCCCCTCGCCCCCGTCCTCCTGCCCTGGCCCTGAACCCAGCCTCCCTCCTTGGCTCTGGCGCCCCCCTCGCCCCAGACCCTTGATTTTCGTGGTTCGTGGTTTGTCGTCGTCCCCCTGGCTGTGGCCCGCCTCCCCTCGCCCCCGCCCCCGTGGGTGTGGCCCGCCCCCCCCTCGCCCCCTCGACCCATCCCGCACCTCTGGCCTCTGGTCCGAGCCCCAGCCCTCTGGCCCTGGCTGCACTCAGCTTGTTTCCTGGCCTTGGCCCCACTCGCCCCGACCCTGGCCTCCGCCCCAGCCCTCCTCGCCCCGGACCGTGTATTGTCGTGGTTCGATCCCGGACCTCTGGCCCCTGGTCCGAGCTTCAGTCCCCCTGCCCTGGCCTTCGACCCTCACTCGCCCCGACCCTGGCCTTGGCCCCAGCCCTCCTCGCCCCGGACTCTTTCTTTTCGTGGTTCCGTCCCCCTGGCTCTGGCCCCCGATCCCCTGGCTCTCTCGCCCCCCACATGCTCTTCCTCCTCCTCCTCCTCCTCATTCTCCTCCTCTTTCTCTCCTCAAATGTGCAAGAGCCAGGGCACGCGTGCCACTTAGCCTAGGCGGACACGGGGCCATTCGAAACTCGTCCCAGCCTTTGGCGCCCAACGGAGTCGCCAACGAACCCGGCAAGCGGCATTGCGGTTGGTGCACGGACCAACTTGGACCAGCGGTACTCCGAACACGCCAGGGCACGCGGCCAGTCGGTGCTGGTCTGAGACAGTTGTGGCCGGCGGCGGCCGGCAGGATCAAGCCTGGGCAGGAAGCCGCGGGGGCCGGCTGGGCTACTCGCGGCTCGTCTATTTCCTACAACGCAAGACGAGCTGCCATTCGGGCCAGTCGGGGCGAGTGGCGGCCAATTGTGTTCCCACCTAGGCCGGGCGACCGGCCACTCGGGGTTATTTGGGGCTATTGGCTCCCCAGTGGGGTTCCAGAGAGCGGCAGATACGTATTTTGAACGAACAGACGTTCAGTGCAACGACGAACCCACGAACAAGAGCTTAGGCAGGATGAGCACGCCGCGGCGATTTCCGCTGCCGGGTCAGAGAAGAGAAAAGAAAAATGTTGCGCATCGTGGGCCGACTCCTCGCTGCGCGACGCGCACTCCTGCTGCTCCTGATCCTTCCGTTGGTGATGCTACGTCCCCTCTTCCTCCAGCCCCTGGATCACTGAGGGCCGAACCACCCCGAGACCCTGGTCTCCATGAACAACCTGGCGGCGCTGACCCGATCGATGGGCAAGTACCAGGAGGCCGAGCCGCTGTGCAGGCGAGCCTTCGAGGGCAGGGAGGCGCTACTGGGACGCGGCCCTAGCGGGCCGCACCCGCGAGGCGACTCTGCCCGCACCAGCCGAGAGTTCGACCTGGGCGCGGCGCGCCGCGACATCGCCCGCTGCGATCTTGTACGGGTTCCCCACCGATCGCTATGAGGGAGAAGGGGCCCTGGAGGCTTATGATGCTCCAACCTACTTTAGCCTTGATCACCAGGAAGAATTTCGAGCGCCCCAAAGAAGTACCGAAACTCAAGGGTTTTCACGTGCCGGGCCCTGGGAGACACGGTTTCGACACTGTTTCGACACTCTTTTGACACTTTCCTGGGCGTTCGAAATTATTGCGAAGGCCTTACGGCCGGTGCCGCCGACCCTGAATGGCGACGACGACGACGAGCGCTCTTGGGGGCCTCTTGGGGGTAGTTTGTGGGCCTGTTGGGAAGCTCTTAGGGGCCGCTTGGAAGCCTCGTGGGGGCCTCTTGGTGTTCGAAATTATTTCTGGGATGCGGTCCTGGAGTAGGACGGGGACAACCTAACTGGAGGCAAGCGTTCCGGGAGTCTCCTCGCCGTCTCCGGGCCGCTCGGGGCGATCCTGGGTCCCCAGGGTGGACGGACTCGTTCCATGGAGAGCTCCCCGGGCCCAAGACCTGGCTCCTCCCTCCCTCCCTCCCTCCCTCCCTCCCCCCCTCCCTCCCTCCCTCCCTCCCTCCCTCATCCGTCATGCCACACGGCCAACGCGCTTCGCTGGACCAAGGCGTTCGAGGTACCCGTTGCCGCGCGCCTGTGGTTCTCTGCTCGCGCGCTGGGTGATCGCGGCCTCCTGGGTCACCGAGGGCCCAACCACCCGGACACGCTGGCATCCCTGAACAACCTCGCGGTGCTGCTGCACCACACAGGAGCGGGGGATGCGGAGCGCCCGGGGCTGAGAGCGGTCGAGGTCGAGCTCTGCCTCAAGATCGCCATGGTTTCGCTTCTCTTCGGCTCGGTCTGCAGCGAAGGCAGGGAGAGAAGGCTGGAGGAGAGGACGGGAGGAAGGTGGAGGGAGCGATGCAGCGAGGGGGGTGGCGGAGAGAGGGTGGCAGGCCAGGTAGGTTTACCAAGCCTGCATCAATTTTACACGCAGGGGCGTCCTTTCCCCACATGTCAGGTTGGCCATTCGCTCTCCTCCTCCCCCTCCTCCTCCTCCTCCTCCTTCTCCTCCTTCTCCTCCTCGTCCTCCTCCTCCTCCTCCTCCTCTATCATCCCCCTCGTCCTCCTCCTCCTCGCTCGCTCGCTCGCTCGCTCGCTCGTAGCTCAAAGCTTTCGAGTTCTACCAGTCCTCCTCCTCCTCTCCTCCTCTTCCTCCTCCTCCTCCTGCCCCTCCCTCTTCTCCTCCTCCTCCCTCTTCCTCCTCCTCCTCTCCTCCTCCTCCTCCTCCTCCTCCCCCTCCCTCTCCCCCACCCCCTCTCCGTCCTGTTTATCCTCGTCGTCGCCGCCGTTCTGTCCTGCTCCTCCCTCCCCTTCCTCGTCGTCGTCCTCGCCCTCCGCCCCCCCCTCCCCCCAAGTTTCATTTTCTTCGTCGTCCTCCTCCTGATCCTTCCCTGTCCCATCCTTCTCGTCCTCTTCCGCCCGCGCCTCCCTTCCCCCTCATTCTTGATATTCCCACCAGCCTTACATCTTGCATGGTGTAGGTTTGCAGGCATCTGTTGACGTGATTACACATGCTCCTTCTTGAAATTCTCCTTTCGTCGTCGTCGTCCCCGTCGTCAAACATCCTTCAGCTGATTCAACACCCACGTGTAGGCACTCCAGGCCAATTCCGTGTCGATCTTGATATTTGTTACGCGGTGGTTTTCCTTATCCCCATCCTTTACAATTACACAATATGAATACTACTCTCCCACTTCCCCTGATGGCGTCCGGAAGATGTTCGGCACCCCCCCGCGTACTGTCTTTTTACACACAGGATTCCCCGGAGTTGGGTTTTCGCTTGTGTTTTTTTCTAAAATGCTGCTCTCGCCGAGGCGCCGGCCTCATTTTCGGGCCCCGCTCGTTCCGAATCGTGCTCCCGCTGCAGCGCTGGCCTCATTTCCGTGCTTCCGCTCGTTCCGAATCGTGCTCCCGCTGCAGCGCTGGCCTCATTTCCGCGCTTCCGCCCGTTTCGACTCGTGCTCCCGCTGCAGCGCTGGCGTCATTTCCCGTGCCATGCCACAGCACACGCGCACACGCGCACACGCGCACACGCGCACACACACACACAACACCACCACCACCACCACCACCACCACCACCACCACACCACCCACCCACACCCACCACCACCACCACCACCACCAACCACCAACCACCACCACCACCACCACCACCACCACCACAATCACGCACACACGCACGCACGCACGCGCACCACCACCCACTAGTCCGCGGATAGAGAAAATCAGCGCCATGGTAAGGGATGGGAGGGAGGGGTAGGACGTCAGATATGACGCGCGCGCACCTAGCTTGCCTTCTCCCCCTCCGTTCCTTCCTCCCCGTCCGCCTCGTCGCAGTCGTCTTCCTACGACGCTTCTTTGTCCTCTTCCTCCCCCATTCCACATTCCCGTCCTTTCTCTCCTCCCCCTCCGCCCTCCCAATTCGTGCCTCCTTGTTGTTGCCCTTTTCCTCAACGTCCTCCTTCTCCTCTCGTCGTCGTCAGCGGCCCACCCCTCCTCCTACACCCCTCTCCTCCCCCCACCCCCCGCCCGACGACGACGACGACGACGACGACGACGACGACGAGAACGACCCCCGAAGGAAGATACGACGAGAGCGAGACCCTGCACCGGCGCGCCCTCAACGCCAGGGAGATCGCTATCGGGGCAAACCATCCCGACACCCTGACCTCGCTGTGCAACTTGGCCGCCGTGCTCCAGGCCGCCCCTCCTCCTCCTCCTCGTCCTCCACGTCCTCCTCCTCCTCCTCCTCCTCCTCCTCCTCGTCCTCCACATCCTCGTCCTCCGCGTCCCAATCGTCCTCGTCCTCCTCCGGATCGCTCTTGCCGTCTTCGGCCTCCTCATCGTCCTCCACGTCCTCCACGTCCCCCGCGTCGTGGTTATCCTCCTGATCCTCCGCGTCATACTCGTGTTTCCTATCCTCCTCCTTCTCCTCCTCCTTCTTCTCCTCCTCCTCTCCCTCGTCCTCCTTATCCTCCTCCTCATCGGCATCCTCCTCTTCCTCTTCATCCTCCTCCTCCTCCTCCTCCTCCTCTTCCTCCTCCTTCTTCTTCTTCTTCTCCTCCTCCTCCTGCTCCTCCTCATCCCAGTCATCCCCGTCATCCACGTCTTCCTGCTCCTCCTCCTCCTCCTCCAGCTCCTGCTCCTGCGCCTCCTCCTCCTCCTCCTCCTCCTGCTTCTCTTCCTCCTCCTCCTCCTCCTCCTCCTCCGCCGCGTCCTCGTCCTCGTTCTCGTCCTCCCTCCTTGTCCCCCTCGCCTCCCCCTCCTCCCCCTCCCCCTCCCGATACGCCGCGGGAGCCAGCCGACCGCCTCTATCTACTGCCCCCCCCTCGGGGCCGGGCCGCGCCCCGCTGCTGGAGGCCATTGGAGAGTACCAGGCGGCGGAGCCGCTGAGCCGACACAGCCTCAAGGTCAGGGAGGAGCCGTCGCCGGGCTGCTGCCCCCCCCCTCCCTTCCCCGAGGAGGGGCTCCTCCTCCTCCTCCTCCTCCTCCTCCTCCTCTCCTCTCCTCCTCCTCCTCCTCCTCCTCCTCCTCCTCCTTCCTCCTCCCTCCCTCCCTCCCTCCCTCCCTCCCCTCCCTCCCTCCCTCCCTCCCTCCCTCCCTCCCGGCCCCAAGTTCTAGGCCCAAGTCAGCCTCCCTCGCCCGTTTTGGTTCAATAGGCGAAGATAGCTTGGGCCACACCAGCGCGCGCACCGGCCTGGCTGCTGTCAGCTAAACTGCATCGACCAGGGCTCGCAATTTGAGGGGGTGCCACGTGACATGCTAAAGTCGCTGGTGTTTATCGTGCACCTTTTGCCAGGGCTGGCATCGGAGTGCAGCTGTTGGGATCTCCACGCCGTTCTTCATCAAGTGGTGTTGCCCCCAGGGCCTACACCAGCAGACAGTGCTAAAATGTCCCACAGCCACATGGGGAGTGTATTTGCCTGGGCCTTTCCAGCGAGACGGAGTGGGATGTGCTGTCTCTCCAGCTCAACGCGCCAGGTGGATAGAGATGTTGGGAGCTGGCATCATCAGCCATTGTGCTATAGTCTCCCACATCCGCCAGGGGAATGTATGACATGTGTTTCGCTTGGGGCCTGGGAGGTCTGGTTGTGCTTTTCTTTTTGTTGTTCGACGTGCAGTGAGTCAACTTTCTGTGGGCGGGGCCAGCTGACAAAGTGTATACGTAAGTGTTGTTCTCTTGCTCCAGATTGTATTCGGTAGATTTAAACGTTTACTTAGCTTGGTGGCCAGTTCAATCCAAGTGGCAGTATGACACGTGCATTTCTGCAAGCTGTGGCTTATAGGTGGTCCGTGGTGCGGGCATTGCTGATTTTGGAATGATCGTGGATTAATTGAGGCCGGGCTGGTGGACAACAGGACAGCACGGTTCTTCGGGGTCTCAGCATGCCCCCGTCTCGCTCCGCCACTGCCGGTTGCAAGTCTTTCGTCAAGCTGCGGGGCGCCTACATGCAGCTGAACGCGGTTGTGTTCGCGGTTCGGGGCTTCGGCCCGAATATATACACATTGTTCATTTCTAAGTATTCGAAAGCTCTACATTTCTAATTGTTCGATCCTGGGCCTCTTCCTGGCCAGTGGGGGGCCAGGAACACTTAGAAACGAGCAGAATTAGAAATAAGCACGATTAGAAATGAATGACGTGTATATTCTGCCCTGGAGTGGCAGGGAGGCGGAGGACCGTGTTCTGAGGGGCGGCCCCGACCTCACGAGCCTGCGCAGGGGCGCGGGCGCGGGAGCAAGGCGGCCGAGCCGACTGCGCTGCCCTCTGTTCTCGAGTCCTCGAATCGCTCCCTCCCTCCCTCCCTCCCTTCCTTTCCTCCCTCCCTCCATCCCTCCCTCCTCCCTTCCACTCGCTCCCACTTCCCAGTTCTCCTCGCCCCCCCCCCCCTCGTGAGGGCTTCGGGGCCACGAAGCAGATGCTGCTCCGTGCGGGGCGAATTCGCGCTGTACGGAACGAAGCTTGCCTGCTGATCGTGACGAGCCAATGTTTCAGTTTGCAGGCCCTCAGACGATGAGAACACGTACAACATCACGTAATGCGTTCGTGCCAGTAGGACAGATGTGTTGTCGCGAGTTCTGGCCTGCCAGGGGATCGTGTTGTGCCCGCTATGTTTGACTGCCCTGTATGTAGTTTCTGGGCTCAAGGCCGTCATCCACTTCAGGTGCACATGCGTACACATTGGGCCCCTCCTCCGCCACAGGTGGTTCGTCGGAGGCTTCGGCATGGAGCTAGACCGAGGGAGCCACGCACTGCGCGTCAAAACAAGACCAGCGACCAGGCAGAGGGCGACAGCGGCGGTCAAAAGACGGTAAGGTTGGCAGAAATGGCAGACGCCGCAGACGAGGAGCTGGCAAAGATCGAGGGCGCCATGAAAGGCAAAGCCATCCAACAGGCATCCGAACCTTCTCTTGAAGAGGGCGCGCCCACACGCTCGGCAGCTCACGGACCTGGCGGCGTTTGAACGGACATCGGTAGTCAGACCAGCGGGATGCAAACTCACAGCGGCCTCGAAAGCAGCAGGGCGTATGTACGCCGACGTGTCCGCGATCCAAGAGATGATGGCGAAGCTGTGGCCCCCACACGTACATCGCGCGCCACGCGTTCAAGTAGCTCACGGTCACCCTGAAGGCCAGGCAATTGCTGGCGCCATGCAAATTATTGAAGAGGTTCCAACTACTTGAAGTTCATATGCTCAGCGGTGGTGGAGCATTTCGACTTAGTCTTCCGCCACTTTAGGAAGATGAAGCGCAATAGCGGAAGCTTCGTTCGCATACACTTCAGCATTTCGGAGGGGTGTGCTTGGAGGGCGACGAGATCATGAAGTTGTTGTTGGAGCAGTCGCTCAGTTGATCGATGATGCGCGAGGGAGAGCGAGTCAAACTGGAGACAGCCCCGGTCGGGCACGTAGAGATGATTACGCAGAAGCTCTCGGACCGCACCAAGGCAGGCAAGAAGGGGAAGGGAATGGCAGGAGTGGTGACGGCGACCTGCCCTACGTCAGAAAATACGCCAGAAAGAATGCAGGCCCGTAAACTCGACAGCATATTTGTAACCAGCGTCTGGTACTGTAGCTTCATATTCGGTTTGACCGTCATGATTCTATGTCTGGGCGGGGGTACGATTGGCCAGCGTCTTCGCAAGTGTTGTGCTGGCAGGCTGCCCTTGCGGTGGAGTTTCTCCTGCTTCGGGACAGGCGTCGAGGGCACACCCAGTGGGGCGCTGGCCGGTGGTTACGCTGGACGGACTGCATATTTCCGTAACTGGGTGGGGCGTACGATGGGCCACCGTCTTTGCAGGTGTCGTGTTTGCTGGCTGCCCATTGCGGTGGAGTTTCTCGTGCTCGGGTTCAGGCGTCTAGGGCGCACCCAGCGGAAACCGTTCAGGGTCTTCACGGGACGGACGTGGGTTGGCGAGGATGCAGCTTTTGTTCTCCACCATTATGTCCATGCCCCCAGTCTATGAGATTATGCCTGGTTGTCTCAGGTTGCTATGTTGGCTCTACATCCTGGCGGGCATCTGCAGCGTCGCCCACGTGTCCTGAACTCCCTGAGTCCCGCCCTCCGTTTCGACAAGGCACCGTCTCGGGTCTGTCATGTTGCATGTTGGTGCAGCTTGCATGGAGCACGCAGCTCTGGAGGCGACGGCCCCTGCGGACCCGGCGGGGCTCGCCTCTCCTTCGCACGGGCTTCACGAACTGCCATCAGTGCTCGACCCTGACCAGGCCGTCAGGGTTGCACGGTGCGCTTCGCCCTGACCTCGAGGTGTGTTTCTCTGAACTCATCGGTTTGCTCAGCGGTGTTATGCTGCGAGTGCGTATCATTAGCAGCAGCAGGCATGAGTGGCATCAGACATGCAGTGCAATGCCGAGGAGTCTTTCCGCTTCTTCCTCATCCTTCCTCTTCCCGTCCCCACGGGCACCAGCACCATCACCACAACCGCCATCACCATCACCATCATCGTCGTCGGTATCATCACTTCCATCAGCATCACCAGCATTAGAAGCATTGCCACCACCAGCACCATGACCTTTTCCCGTGTAATCACCATCAACAGCAACATCCGCATCATCATCATCATCATCATCATCATCATCATCATCATCATCATCATCATCATCATCATCATCACCATCATCATCATCATCATCATCATCATCATCATCAGCATCATCATCATCATCATCATATTCTCCCTTTTCCGCCTCCTTCCTCATCCTCTTCAACAACAACAGCAGCACCATCAACAACAACATCAGCGTCCTCCTTCCTCATCCTCCTCATTATCCTCATTATCGTTTCCCATCCCTGATCCACCCTCCTCCTCCTCCGCCTCCTCCTCCATTCCTTTTCATCTTGCCCCTCCTGCTCCCCCAATCCTCTCTTCCTCCTCTTCCTCCTCCTCCTCCTCCTTGCCTTCAGCCGAGAGCGCGGACGGGAGCGCGGCGCACTGCACGGGCACTCCCCGTTGGAGTCATATAAACGCGCACTGGCTCGGGCTTGCCGTTCCGAGGCCCTCGCGGGCCCGATCCTTCCGCTCCACTGAAGCGTGCGCGCGGGTGCAATTTGGCTCCCGTTGACGTTTTGCGCGTCGTGCGACGCCCAGGTCGGCTGTGTCTTCCTCCTCCTCCTCCTCCTCCTCCTCCCCCTCCTCCATTCCTTTCCCTTATATAGAACTCCTCCATGCTGCACCCCGAAACCAGGGCGGGCCAGGCGTTTCGCCTGAGACCTCCTTACCATTCATGAGCTTCAAGCTTAAGCATGGGCAACCGTTTCACAGACGGAGTGTTGGCCCACGTTTGGGGGAACGTATCGCGCCAGACCTACGTATTCAGTCTACGTGTTGAGCTCCGTGCCAACACGCTACGAGTTGCGTGTTGCGAATCGGAGCGGCTAAGCTTGGGGCAGGTCAGGTCCTTGGCGTCCAGCTTGTCATTTTACTCGCATGTGCCGCAGCCTTTGCAGCGGGTCCACGGGCGAGTCGACATGAGCCCCAGCTTTCGTTATCGCTGAGGCCGGTGGTGTGGCCCACAGCTGCAGTGATATCCCGCGAGCGCCGCGTGAAGGCACTCGGACGGCTCGGGCGAGTGTGGCCTGAGCGCGAAATGGCTTGAGAATGCATTGGAGAGGAGCGAGGACTAGGGACGAGGGAAGACAAGAGGACAGCGGAGGCAGGGGAAGGAGGGTGGACGGGGGGAAGGAGGAGGGAGCAGGGGAGCACGGAGCACGGAGGAGACGAGGAGGAGGGGGATGGATGGATACAAGAGGCGGGACTCCTCCTCCTCCTCCTCCTCCTCCTCCTCCTCCTATGGAGAGAGGGAGGAACACGAGGAGGACGGACTCGGAGGGAGGAGGACCAGAAGGGACAGGCACAGGGTGCGGTGGCGATGTGCTGCCCAGATGCCGGCGATCCCGCTCGCGAGGAGACGCTCGGGCGACTCCACCCGGACACCTTGACCTCCGTCAGCAATCTCGGCCTGTTGCTTCAGGCGCGCAGCCCTCAGAAAATGTGCGTCCCGCTGCGCACAGTGGAAGTATGTACGGGGCGATCGATCCGACCGATCGAACGCATCGATCAGTGGATCGATCGGACCACTCGATCGTTCGAACGGGCGATCGATCAGATCGATTGATCTCATGATCGGCCCACTCGACCAGGGATCGATTGATCGGACTGGCTCATGGCCTCATCTGATCGGGACGTCCCAGTCTGACCTGCGCAAGCTTAAGACCGACCAGACCGGACACACAGCTGCGCCGCACATCGAGCATCCCCTCCTCCCTTCTGCCTACCGCTTGTTTGGCAGTTCCCCAGGACTGGGCATCGCTCGGACGTGGGTTTTTTTTTGTCGGCCAGAACCATCGAGGACCATCCTGAACCATCGAGCCAAACAAAAAACGCACGAAACCGAAAAATGCACGGGACATGGACGTCCGAGCGATGGCACGAGGAAGCTTGGCCAACCCATGCCTTGCCCACCGTTTTTGCACGCGCGAGGCTCCCGGCGCAGGGCCGCCTCAGCACTCGTTCAAACTCCTTGCCCGGATGGCCGGCCCAGGCTTCACGGGGTAGCAGCGTTAGGGGGCCACATGCGAACCCTGCCCCTGCCCCCCACGATTTCTGAGGGGGAGGGTGGGGTTCACCTCGTTCGGGAGCTCCCGAGCGAAGTGAACCCCACCCTCCCCCTCAGAAATCGTGGGGGGTAGGGGTAGGGTTCGCATGTGGCCCCCTAAGCGTGCAGCAAGCGCATGAAACAAGACACCGACTTGCCAGCAGGTGCCACATCGAATTGTCCGATCCCTCGATGGCCCTGGGGACTCACAGAAGCTCTGGGGTGCCTCGTGAAGCTCGAAGGTGAGCGTTAATTGTGCCGTCAGTTTTTTGAGGGCAAGATCTCTCATTGAAATGTTCGAATTAGGAAAACAATAATGACGTGAATATCGGTTAAACTGGTTTCATTATGTCATGGATTGTTAGCTCATTTGTTGGTGCGAATGCCCGTCGGTTGTTGAAAGTGTGTATTTTTGGAGTCCCAGGTTCCAATCTGCTTTAAGCTCCTTCCTACTTCAACGATCGAGTGGCTCCCCCCATTCCGTCCTCTTCAGGGGGCGGGCGGACACCCAATCTACTTTCAACGCCTTCCTACTTCACGTGTCTACCTACTTTTTCCGACCGATGGGTACCTACTGTAGCACTTCCTTGTTCGCAGCTTCGGCTGCGTTCCGTCGGTGCGGTTCGGTGCGCTCGACCGTTCTCTCTCCGCTGTTGCGCAAGGTCGCCGCCGCTCTTCCCTCTCGCCGCCTCAGCACGCCGCTCATCACTTCGTGTGGAGGTCCCCGGATGTCCAAGGAGGCGAGGGGGGGGGGGCTCGGGCGCGGCAAAGGGGTGTGATGACTAGGGGGGGGGGGGACATCATGGCGTGGGCCATGATATCTCCCCAGATTATATGGCGCCTCTTCTTACCTCAATGCGTCCCCGCCCCCGCCCCCCCTCCGGGCCGCGCACATGCCGCCTGCCATGATTTGCGCCCCCCCCCCCCCCCCTCTTGAACGCTCCCGTCTTGGCCGCCCCCGAAAAGACGGGGGGACGATTTGTCCGCCCCCTCCCGGCGGCAGAAGCAGCAGTCATCCAATACAGAGGTGGTGTTGAGAGATCGCCGTATGCATGTGTTTTTTGTTTGCCGTGTTGCATTGTACGCAGTATTGTGTCGATCATGCACCTGTTGTGTTCGCGTGCCGCTGCCATTTTCATTCGAGTCCTGACGAGCCCCAGCAGGGGCGAAACGTTGACACGCGTACTGAAACAAAAAGCACGGGCTTGAGAGCGCCATACGTGTAAGGTGTACGGAGGCATCTGGGAGGCACATGGGATCCCCAAAAGGGCAAGAAGACTTCCAACAAATTGCATATTCGATCTCGTGTGTTGTGTCCTACCTTTCATGAGTCCGAGTTGCCGTTCGATGTGCTTTTTCATTCAGACTCTTGCCTGCCTTTGAAAATGGTGGTCTCGCTGGTGAGTTCGTCGTATCCGTATTCCATGACTGCCAGAGCCTCCGTCCGACAGAACGACGCTGTCGCCGCAGCGGTGGCAGCGGTGGCTGTGGATCTGAATGCAATCAGAACGCTCGTTGCTTGAGAGGCGGTACTCCCGCTGGTGCGTCCAATCTATCCGATGTTCACCATGGGTCCCCCGCCCAACGGAGCGACGCTGTCGCCGCAGTGGTGGCAGTGTTGGTCGTGCTCCCGCGCCCGAGAGAGCGGAGCCTCCGCCCGCGTCCTTCGCCACGGGCGTGTGATCCCGTCGATCTCCCGCGGGGCGGTGCCCTCGACTCCGCTCGAGGTCTGGGCGCCTCCAGGAGCGGCTCTTGCGTGCCGTGCTCTGCGGGGTGTGAGGTCGGGCGTCGGGTCGTCGGGAGGAAGGGCCGCGGGGGGCAAGGAAGGTCCAAGCGCTTGGCTCCACGCAGGGTTTCAACGCGATGTGGGGGATGGGGGGGAAGGAGTAGGGCGTGAGCTGCGTCGTGGGCGCACCCTGATCGCCCCCCTCGCCCCTCTCCCCTCCCCCCCCCCCTCGCGCTCGCGGGGGCCCTTCTGAGGCCAAGGCCGCTTGAGAGGAGGAGCAGGATTGTAGTGTAGCGCTGATTCCCTAAAGGGTCGGCACAACCCCTTGCCTGTCGGTAGGGGCACTTGGGCTCTCCCTTCCTTGCTCGTCGGTGCCGCGAAATGTGGAGAAGTTCCACCGTTCGTTGACGATTGTGCGCGTATTGTACCGCCGTTTTGGGCACCTCGGGCTGGTGGTGGGCATGCGCACTCCGCATGCCGAGCGACGGCCACCTCTGCTCACCTCGTTTCGACCATCTCCTCAGCAACGGGCAAGCGCGCATGGAGGGTACGCAGGACCGCCGGCATCGCCGCCAGGTTGTGACGTGGAGGCCGGCGCCTGGTCCAGGAACGAGTCGGTTGGAACGGAGAAGCTCACGAACTGCAGAGGTGCAGGTCTATGATCGAAGTTCCCAGCGTCCTTGGTTGGAGCAGGCGCACCCCCAGACAGCCGTATCAGGACGCTGCACTGTGGAAGCGCCAATGCCTCAGCATGACAGGTATCACGGCACCATAAAAAAGGAGAAGGAGGCGGAATTGCGAAAACCAATCAAAATATAACGCCAGGTTGCCGCCGCGACCAGACACCATGTTTCGAATGTGCAGCATTGGGGAAGGTTCACCCCCATACAACTGTATCAGGGTGCTGCCCGACTGCGCGAGAATTCCTGACATTCGCCGCGACACGAGGGCGCTCTTCAAATGTGCAAGATTGGGGAAGGCTCACCCCAAAGAAGCCGTAAAGGGGGTGCTGCCCTACCTAGTCCAAGCGTGCATTCGGAAGGCAGGGCGTCCAGCATCGCCGCCAGGCTGCATCCTGGCGGCCAACGTCTCGCCTGGTGACGGAGCGAACTACAAACCCACGCAGAGCAGAGTTGCCAAGAGGCGCCCAAGACGGCTCAAGAGGGTCCCAAGGAGGAGGTGGAGGAGGAGGAGGCGGAGGCGGAGACGGAGGAGGAGGAGAAGGAGAAGGAGGAAAAGGAGGAGGAGGGAGGAGGAGGGAGGAGGAGGAGGAGGAGGGAGGAGGAGGAGGAGGAGGAGGAGGAGGAGGAGGAGGAGGAGGAGGAGGAGGAGGAGGAGGAGGAGGAGGAGGAGGAGGAGGAGGAGGGAGGAGGAGGAGGAGGAGGAGGAGGAGGAGGAGGAGGGGGA